CTTCCCCTCTCCCTCTCCCTCTCTTCCCCCCTGCTCCTTCTCCACCCCCCTCTCCTTCCTCTCATCATTATCGTTATCTCTATCATCATCATCATCATCATCCTTCTCCTCGCTCTCGCTAAGGCTTTTGCTATCATTACATCAATCTATGTATTCAATTTTCTTGATGGCCTTGCAATCACGACCAAAGATACCGCCGTTGCATGTCCAAATACCCAACATGTACCCATTTCTTATCGATTCTTTAAAGGCACCAATTAAGACATCAATTAAAGCCCCATTAAAAGCTCCACCAATGGCATGCCGCGAAATGACGTCATCGACTGAACGAAACAAAAAGGCGAGATCACGAAAGGAGAGATTACCGAATGCCATCAATAAAATTCAAAAGCGTTTTAGAGTATCTCGTTTCATGGTCTCACATACAAAGGTCGGGTTTATTTCTAAACGAGTTTGAGAAATCATAGGAGAATGGTCATCTGAACGCTCGAAGGATGACTATAACCCTTTCCCTGCCCTCCCCCTCCCCTTCTCCCTCCCATATCCCATCCTCTTCCCTCCTCCTGCCCCCCCACCTCACACCCCGGGCAACAGAGAGAAAAACAACGCGGGCTTTCTTTGCAGCTATTCCTTTGAGCGCGCCTCCAACCCCCCCTACCCTCCCACCGCTCCCTCCCCCAGAATAGTATCAACTTCAGCCAGTCATCCACTCGATCGCCTAGGCATAATGCCTCCTCAGAGCAGACAGGAGCCGCGAAAATCACCCTTAAAGACGTCGCATATTCTCCTGCCTTTGGAGAGATACGCGAGTCGCAAGCCTTCCCCACCCCACCTACAGCCCGCCCACCGCCCTCGCGATCAAATAGTAATCCTCTTCTTCAGATATCCAGTCAATCCACAGGAATTTAAAAAAAAATTGAAAAAGAAGGACATCATTCCTCGAAAGAAAAAAAAAATACCACCAATAATTTTCAAATCTTGCACGAAACTTACGAATATCCAGAGTGAAGGAGAGTCATAAATAAGGCTCCGTAACTGAGAGTGAAGGAAAGCCATTAATATGATTTGTAATTGGGAGAGAAAGAATCATAAATACGATTCGCAACTGGGAGTGCCCGAAAGCCCTAAATAAAATTTGTAATTGGGAGTGAAGGAGAAAAATAAAGAAGATTCCTAATATGGAGAAAAGGAGAGCCAAAAAGTGGATTCGTAATTGGGAGAAAACGACAGTCATATACAGGCTTCGTAATTGGGATGGACGAAGATCCATAAATAGGCTCCCTATTTGGGAGTGATGGACAGCCATTAATAGGATCCGTAATGAAGAGCCGTAAGTAGGATTGCGATAGGGAGGGAGGGAGGGAGGGAGGGAAGGATAGACGGAGAGAGGGAGAGGAGAAGAGGGACAAAAAGGAAGAGAGAGGGTGTGAGACAGAGATAAAGAGAGAAAAATAGAGATGGAAAAATAAAGAGAAAGAGAGAGAAAGAGAAAGAGAAAAGGAGGAAGAGAGAAAGAGAGAAAGAGAGAGAGAGGGAGAGAGAGAGAAAGAGAGAGAAAGAGAGAGAAAGAGAGAGAGGGAGAGAGAGAGAAAGAGAGAGAGAGAGAGAGAAAGAGAGAGAAGAGAGAGAGAGAGAGAGAGAGAGAGAGAGAGAGAGAGAGAGAGAGAGAGAGAGAGAGAGAGAGAGAGAGAGAGAGAGAGAGAGAGAGAGAGAGAGAGAGAGAGAGAGAGAAAGGGGGAGAGTGGGAAGGAGATAGAGAGAATACAAGACAGAAAGAGAAAGAAAAAAAATCCAACGAGAAAGAGACCCCAGAACGAGCGATTTGCCACGGCCCAAGCGAGCTACTTCCACCCGACCGACCGAGTGTACAGATTAATTTGCAGAATCTGTCGCGGCGCCAAGTGGTGCAGGAGAGCGCGAGCACCTGAGGGCGTGTAATGAAGGCTAAAGTAATGAGACGCAAGTGTACACACATGCGCGTAATGGCACAGCTTTTGCCCGTTATTTTATTATATGTTTTTTCTTCTCTCTTTTTTATCTCTTTTTTTTTCGGGGGGAGGGGGAGGTGCAAATTTGCGCTGCATGGTAACTGCGACGAGGCTAAAATATGGGCATGAAACTGCATGGCGTCGGTTTTAACTGCCAAAAATAATTAATGGGCAGATATTCGCCCATCTATAAATGACACGGTGGTTTATGAATAAATTTCTCTCTCTCCCTCTCTATCCATCACTTTTTGAACTCGCTTAATCTGTCCCCAATCGCTCTTTTGCTATCCCTTACTCTTTTCTCTCTCTCTCTCTCACTTCCTCTCCGTCCTCTCTCTTCCTCCCTTTCCTGTTTTTCCTCTTTCCCCTTCCTCATTTCTACTCTCCCATTCCTAATTTACTTAACTTTCTACTACTCACCCCCACCTTCTTCTATCCCTCCCATACATTCCCCTTTTGCCCCTCCCCTTTCGTAACATTTATCTCCTCTCCCCTGCCCCTTCCCTTCATTTCTCCCACCTCTTCCCCTTACCTCTGTCCCTTACATCTCTCCCTCTCCCCTTCCCTGCTTCCATATTTAACCTCTCTCTTCCCTCGCCCTCCTCATTTTTCACCTCTCTCCCTTCTCTTTTATCTTTCCTCTCCCCCACATCTCTCCCCCCCCACCCTATTCCCCATACTCCCCTCCCCATCCGCCCTATCACCCTCCTTCTCCTCTCCCTTCCCTATATCCCCTTTCTCCTTTCCTCCCTTCCCCACCCTCTTCTCTCCCCCGACAGGAACAAACAAACCCACTTCAACCTATTTTCGGGCATAAATAAAGTCCATTCACTAACAAACGCCCCGCAGTACCTATTCCTCCCTTAAATATTTCCTTTCTTCTCTCTCCCCCTATTTTCCCTCCTCTCCCTCCACCTGTCCTATCCTACCCCTGCCCCTTATCGACATCTTCGTACTCCTTTCCTTCTCTATCCTCCTTCCCTCTCTCTCTCTCCTTCCCTCATCCACCTACTCCCTACCTCCCCTATCCTTCTCCCTCCCTTTCTCACCCTTTCCATCTCTCCCCACCTACCTTTCCCTCCTTCTCCTATCCATCCTCTTCTTCTCTCCTCCTCCACTCTCACCCTCCCGATCCCATCCACCCTCCCCTACCCTCCCTCTCCCTCCTTCCCCTACCCCCGTCTCTCCCCCCTACCCTACCTTCCCTCTCCCCTACCCCCTCCCCCTACCCTACCCTTCCTCTTCCCCCTCTCCCCCTCCCTCTCCCTCCCTCCCTCCCTCCCTCTCCCTCCCTCCCCTACTCTCCCTCCCCCACCAGAAGCAAACAAACCCACTCCAATCTATTCCTGGATACAAAAAAAGGTCCATCCACTAACAAACGTCCAACATCTCGCGTCTTGCAACTGCAGCGTGCAATGCCTCCCGAGAATGCCAGAAGTTGCACTTGATTGCCTTCGTCAGATCCGACAGGGAGGAAAAAAAGATGAAACTTTCGAGGAGACTTTGTTATTCATTTCCCTTACTTTTTATCGATACGTCCGTTGTCTCTTTCTATTTACTAGTTCGTCTATTCTTCTTCTCCGGAGTACTTTTTTCATCCCCTATACTCTTCTTTAGCTCCCATCTACATCCTCCTCCCTCTTTATCAACCTACTTAGGTCCTTTGACTGTGCCCTTTACATAATTCCTTTCTAATATTCCTTTATGTATAAATGAATCGGATTCATCCCTCCACGTATCTCCTCAACACTCCTCTCTATCTACATATTTCCTCGTTAGCGCTTCCTCGTTTCCCCTAATGTAATCAAAGTAAAAAGGGGAAAAAAATCACAAACACCGACACGCGGCCCGAAGGAGGAAGAGCTGCCACGTCATGTATTATGGACACTTTCTACACAGCGTCTTGAATATGAGATCCCTGTCTCGCCTTCCTTCCAGGCGCCGGGAGTGCATGACCCGGGCCTTCCCGTGACTCTTGATTCTTGCCTTATTCCTGCGCTTTTAGTATGAAATGTATCATTTTAAATGTTAAGTATTCTTTAACTGATTATCAGAATCAGTTTATCATTATTTAATAGTGTCATATACAGTTACAAGCCCAATACCTTGTCTAACACTAATGAAGCCTAGCGACACGTCCGTTACCTGAACACTGCAGGCACCAGGATCTCCCTTGGCCTCCCGACCGAACCCCAAAGCCAAACCCGACCCTCGAACCCGACCCAACCGCCAAAACTTCGCAGACGCTCCACGCAGAGGCGCCGAAGGACAAAAGGAACCGAACACGATACAGCGGAATCCCCGGGGGCCCCAAGTCACCCAAGCCTGGCGCCGCAGTCAGACTTTTCGATCTCCCGCTTGTCTTTCTCTCTCTCTTTTTCTCTCTTTCTTTCTCTCTCTCTCTTTTCTCTCTCTCTCTCTCTCTCTCTCTCTCTCTCTCTCTCTCTCTCTCTCTCTCTCTCTCTCTCTCTCTCTCTCTCTCT